AATATTATATAATATACTATACTATAATATATAATATAATATAATATAATAAACATTACCTCTTGACCCTGAAAGACTCATGAGGGTCCTGGGTCTGGAGCGTACGTCGAAGATGACGGGTCTTTCGATCAACGGCCAGCGAAAGTGAGTGCCTTCTTTGTATATTTCTCTGCCGACTCCTATTAAACGGTTGTATATTATCGCGCGATGACCCGCCTCCACTGTATATATAAATAGACACACAAGTAAGCTATTCTTGTCTGTCTTTATACAATCGTTCAAACGTATTTATATCTATTTATATGTATATATGTATATATATATATATATCGTATATTTATGTTTTATATATATATATATATATATTGTATAGTATATGCATGTATATATATATATATATATGTACATATATATATAATATACACAATATATATAAATATAATATACACAATATATACATATATATATTTATATGTATGGTTAGAAGAAGAATAACAAACAAATTAATATCACAAATAAAAATAGAAGGTAAAGGACAGCAAAAGAAGAAGCAACAAAAACAAACATAAAAAAAGCCTAATAAGATATGCATAAAGTCTTCATGCAGAAACAGAAAAAGATAATAAACCCTAAACCCTAAACCCTAAGACAATGAGTATATAGAAGAAGTTAAAACTAAATAAAGTTGTTGTTTATCTGTCTTGTCTGTCTCTATTTCTTGTGTATATACACTTCAATCTACCTACCATTATAAAGAGAAAAATTAAATAAACCGACGGCACCCGCAACACCCCCCAAGGCCAACGCCCCCATACCCCCTAACTTCTTCAAAGCCTGGGGGTCCATTCTGATTTCTAGGGTTTAGGGTTTAGGGTTTAGGGTTTAGGGTTTAGGGTTTGGGTGATCGCTGAGGGTTTAGGAGAATAGAAGTTAGGAGGTTAAATAAAGCCAAAAGAATTCTTTAATATATGAAAAAGAAGAAATGAAGAGAAAAACGGTTTCAGGGGCCCCCTAAACCCTAAACCCTAAACCCTAAACCCTTGCGCTGCAGGGCTTGCAAGGCTGTTGCCGCAGGATTCTTTAAGACCATAAAATAAAATAAGTTAATTAGGAGGTGTAATTAAATAAAAAGCGATTAAATATATCAACAAAATAAAGAAGAAAGCAACAAACAAACAAACATCTTCTATTTTCATATGCATGCATATGTGGGGGAGTAGGGGCTGCCGAGCTGGCTGATAATCCAGGGCAGAAATTAAAAACTAAATAAATAAACAAAATAAAAAAACAAAAATATTAATATATTAATTAAATATTATTTATTTTTTACTTTATTTTAAACATATATAATTAAACTATACAACTTTTCTTATCCCCAGCGCCTTCAAAGCCAGCAGAGACTGAGACCCACTGCAAGCAAACCATCATACATATATATCAGGGTTTACCGTTTAGGGTTTAGGGTTTTAGGGTTTTAGGGTTTAGGGTTTGGGGTTTAGGGTTTAGCAAACGCCTTACACTCAGCGCATTACACACAAAGCCTAAGAAGGGTAAAATATATATAATAAAATTCGCAGAAGAAGAATGTCTTAGAAACAAACTACATAAAACAGATAAAATAAAATAAATAAATATAATAATTAAAATAATTAAAATAAATATAATAAGATATGCCCCAGCGATAATCAAATGGAGAGCCTTCAGAGGGGGGGGTAAAGAGATAATTGAAAAGAAACAAAAGACAAACCAGATGAATAAAAGATTGAACATAAAATAAACAGATAAAGAAAGTAAAAAACAATAAAAAAATAAATTTATATTAAAAAGACAGAGATATCTTCTCTCTCTCTGTGCAGCACAAAGGCAGCAGCAGAAGAAGAATAATAGCAGCAAATCTGAAAACCGATAATAATTAAGTTTTAATTAAATTAATTAAATTAATTAAATTAATTAAATTAATTAAATTAATTAGTTTAAAATTGTCTTTCTTCTTCTATAGAAAGATCTGAGGTGTACAGGCACCTCAACCCACATCGACATCAGAAAGCTGCCCCCTCTCTTATTCATTCATTTTATCTTTTTGTTTCTTCCTTGCCTCGCTTCTATCTCTGTTGTTATCTTAATGTACAAACCTAATACACTTACATGCATAAATATAATATCTGGGTGTATATTATTTATCTAAATATCTATCTATCTACCTATATATATATATATATATATATATATATTTATATGCATCTATATGTACGTAAGCGACGAGATAAAATTCGTTTGAAAAGTATGGGGGCTGTTTTTTTTGTTATTTTGATTTTATTATTCTCGTTATTCAAACACAGACAAACAAACAAAAAACAGAAACAGAA